ATCTTACTTGCTTTACCTTCAAAATATTTAAAATTTGACCACTCTTTACCTTCACTACTGCTACCACCTTCGTCTGAGCCACCATCATTTTTCACCAGGATTGTTGCTGGCTAATTAGTTTACTTGCTTCTACTCTTGCTCCCTTATTGCCTTTTCTTTCTTTCTTTCTTTCTTTTTTCTTTTTTTGTTAGGGCCTTACTCTGTTGCCAGGCTGGAGTGCAATTGTGCGATCTCAGCTCACTGCAACCTCCACCTCCTTGGTTCAAGCAATTCCCCTGACTCAGTCTCCCGAATAGCTGGGATTACAGGCGCGTACCACCATGCCTGGCTAATTTTTTTTGTATTTTTAGTAGAGACAGGGTTTCACCATGTTGGCCAGACTGGTCTTGAAGTCCTGACCTCAGGCAATCCACCCGCCTCTGCCTCCCAAAGTGCTAGGATTACAGATGTGAGCCACTGCGCCTGGCTATTGCCTGTTCTTAACAGCTAAAGTGATCTTGTTAAAAAAGAAAAAATCAAGATCACAGCCAAAGTGATTTTTTTTTTCTTTGATGGAGTCTCACTCTGTTATCCATACTGGAGTGCAATAGTGCGATCTCAGCTCACTGCAACCTCTGCCTCCTGGGTTCAAACGATTCTCCTGCCTCAGCCCCCCAAGTAGCTGGGACTACAGGTGCCCACCACCACACCCAGCTAATTTTTGTATTTTTAGTAGAGATGGGGTTTTACCATATTGGCTAGGCTGGTCTCAAACTCCTGACCTTGTGATCTACCCGCCTTGGCCTCCCAAAGTGCTGCGATTACAGGCATAAGACACCACACCTGGCTCTTTTTTTTTTTTTTTTTTTTTTTTTTTTTTTTAGGAGTCTTGCTCTGTTGCCCAGGCTGGAGTGCAGTGGTACAATTTCAGCGGCTCAATGCAACCCCTGCCTCCTTGTTCAAGTGATTATCCTGCCTCAGACTCCCAAGTAGCTGGGATTACAGGCACCTGCCACCACACCCAGCTAATTTTTGTATTTTCAGTAGAGACCTCAGGTGATCTGCCTACCTTGGCCTCCCAAAGTGCTGGGATACAGGTGTGAGTCACCACCCCTGGCCTGATCTTATTTTTTACTTAAAATAAAAGCTAGTGTTTGCAGTAGCCTATAAGGCCCTTCCTTCCCCATTACCTCTCTGATCTCATCTCCTACCATATTCCTCCACTCACTCATGCTGCTCTGGACACAGCCCATTTGCTGTTTCAGGTACATCCCACCTCACAGCCATACACTGGTGGTACTTTCTGTCTGGGATGCTCTCTCTCCAGATATTTCTTGGCTCTTATTTTTTTTTAATTTTTTTTATTTTTTGAGACAGAGTCTCACTTTGTTACCCAGGCTGGAGTGCAGTGGTACCATCTCGGCTCACTGCAGCCGCCACCTGGGCTTAAGCAATCCTCCTGCCTCAGACCCCCAAGTAGGAAACACAGGTGCTTGCCACCACACCTGGCTAATTTTTTTGTTTTTTCGTAGAGATGGGGTTTCACCATGTTGCCTAGGCTAGTCTCAAACTCCTGGGCTCAAGTGATCCACCCACCTCGGCCTCCCTAAGTACTAGGATTGCAGGTGTAAACCACCGCGTCCAGCCTTGGTTTTTATTCTTACTTCCTTTCAGTTATTGCTCAAATGACACTTTCTCAGTGATGATCCCCTTTCAACCTGCAATCCCACATACTCCCATGCCCACCTGAGTATTCCCAAACCCTTACTTGTTCTCATTTTTCCAGAGCACTTATTAACCATATTCTTGTCTATTATGTTTGTCTCTCCAGCTAGAATATAAGCTCCACCACTAAGACAGGGACTTTTGTCTGTTTCTTTCTTTTTCTTTTTTGTTCCAAGACAGAGTCTCGCTTTGTCCCCCAGGCTGGAGTGCTGCAGCACGATCTCGGCTCACTGTAACCTCTGCCTCCGGGGTTCAAGCGATTCTCCTGCCTCAGCCTTCTGAGTAGCTGGGATTACAGGCGCACGCCATCATGCCCGGTTAATTTTTATATTTTTAGTAGAGACAGGGTTTCACTATGTTGAACAGGCTGATCTCGAACTCCTGATATAAGGTGATCCACCTACCTTGGCCTCCCAAAGTGCTGGGATTACAGGTGTGAGCCACCATGCCTAGCCCTTTTTCTTTTTCCTGGTTTTTTTTTTTTTGAGATGGCATCTCACTCTGTTGCTCAGGCTGGAGTGCAGTGGTGCAATCTCAGCTCACTGCAACCTCTGCCTCCTGGGTTCGAGTAATTCTCCTGCCTCAGCCTCTTGGGTAGCTGGGATTACAGGCACCCGCCACCACGTCTCGCTAATTTTTGTTTTTTTTTTTTTTTTTCAGACGGAGTTTCACTCTTGTTTGCCCAGGCTAGAGTGCAATGGCACGATCACGGCTCACTGCAACCTTCGCCTCCCAGGTTCAAGCGATTCTCCTGCCTCAGCCTCCCTAGTAGCTGGGATTATAGGCATGTGCCACCACGTCCAGCCAATTTTGTATTTTTAGTAGAGACAGGGTTTCTCCATGTTGGTCAGGCTGGTCTCGAACTCCCGACCTCAGGTGATCCGCCCGCCTTCGCCTCCCAAAGTGCTGGGATTACAGGCGTGAGCCACCGTGTCCGGCTAATTTTTGTATTTTTAATAGAGATGGTTTTTTTTTTTTTTTTGAGAAGGAGTCTCACTCTGTCGCCCAGGCTGGAGTGCAGTGGCCGGATCTCAGCTCACTGCAAGCTTCGCCTCCCGGGTTCACGCCATTCTCCTGCCTCAGCCTCCCGAGTAGCTGGGACTACAGGCGTCCGCCACATCGCCCGGCTAGTTTTTTTTTGGATTTTTTTTTTTAGTAGAGACGGGGTTTCACCATGTTAGCCAGGATGGTCTCGATCTCCTGACCTCATGATCCACCCATCTCGGCCTCCCAAAGTGCTGGGATTACAGGCTTGAGCCACCGCGCCCGGCCAAGAGATGGGGTTTTACCATGTTGACCCGGCTGGTCTTAAACTCCTGACCTCAAGTATTTGCCCACGTCAGCCTCCCAAAGTGCTGGGATTACAGGCGTGGGCCATCGCACCGCACCTGGCCTTTTGTTTTTGTTTTTTTTTGGAGACAGGGTCTCTCTCTGTTGCCCAGGCTGTAGTGCAGTGGCACAATTGTGGCTCACTACAACCTCTGCCTCCCAGGCTCAAGCGATTCTCCCATTTCAGCCTCCCAAGTAGCTAGGACTATAGGCACGTGCCACCATGCCTGGCTAAATTTTTTTTTCTATATTTTTTGTAGAGACAGGGTTTCGCCATGTTGCCCAGGCTGTTGTCTGTTTCATTGAGTAAAGCATTCCCAGTGCCCAGAACACTGCTAGGCACTCGATGTTTATTGGATGAATGGGTAGCATTAGTAACATTTTGCTGCACTTAGTTATAAACAAGACCTCCTTCCCCATATTAGGCCAAAGTTCCATGAGGACAGGGAATGCATATTATTCTGGACCCTTAATAAATACTGACTGACCACATGAGTAATGGACTATGTGAAAACAAGGCAGTGAAAATGAGCTGGTTATATTTGGGTTGAAAATTAGTCATAAGGGGCCAGGCGCGGTGGCTCACGCCTGTAATCACAGCACTTTGGGAGGCCGAGGTGGGCGAATCATAAGGTCAGGAGATCTAGACAACCTGGCTAACACCCTGAAACCCAATCTCTACTAAAAATACAAAAAATTAGCTGGGTGTGGTGGTGGGCGCCTGTAGTCCTAGCTACAGGGGGAGTTAAGGCAGGAGGATGGCGTGAACCTGGAAGTCGGAGCTTGCAGTGAGTTGAGATTGCATCACTGCACTCCAGTCTGGGCGACAGAGCGACTCCATCTTAAAAAAAAAAGAAAAAAAAAAAGTGGTAAGGGTCGGGTGCGGTGGCTCATGCCTGTAATCCCAGCACTTTGGGAGGCCGAGGTGGGCAGATCACTTGAGGCCATGAGTTCAAGACCAGTCTGACCAGCGTGGTGAAACCCTGTATCTACTAAAAATACAAAAATTAGCTGGGCATGGTGGCGCATGCCTGTAATCCCTACTACTCAGGAGGCTGAGGCATGAGAATCACTTGAACCCCGGAGGTAGAGATTGCAGTGAGCTGTGATTGCGCCACCGCAATCCAGCCTGGGTGATGCACCAAAAAAAAAAAAAAAAAAAGAAGGAAAGAAAAAGAAAAATTCGGTGTAGGAAACAACTTGTGGGTACAGTGGCTCAGGCCTGTAATCCCAGTACTTTGGGAGGCTGAGGCAAGTGGATCTCTTGAGCCTAGGAATTCAAGACCACCCAGTGCAACATAGTGAGACCTCATCTCTACAAAAAATAAAAAATTAGCCAGGCATGGTGGTGCGCGCCTGGAGCCTCAGCTACTCAGGAGGCTGAGGCAGAAATATCGCTTGAGCCAGAAGTTGGGCTGCAGTGAGCCAAGATCCTGCCACAGCACTCCAGCCTGGGCAACAGCAGGAGACTCTGCCTCAAAAAAAAAAAAAAAAAAAGTCAGACACAGTGGCTCACACCTGTACTCCCAGCATTTTGGGAGGCCAAGGCGCGTAGATCACAAGGTTAGGAGTTCACGACCAGCCTGGCCAATATGGTGAAACCCCGTCTCTACTAAAAACACAAAAATTAGCTGGGTGTGGTGGCAGATGCCTGTAGTACCAGCTACTCAGGAGGCTGAGGCAGGAGAAGTGCTTGAACCCAGGAGGTGGAGGTTGCAGTTAGCTGAGATTGCGCCACTGCACTCCAGCCTGGGCGACACAGCGAGGCTACATCTCAAAAAAAAAAAAAAAATCTCAAAATAGACGAGAAAGAAGTCACTACAGGATGAGAGATGGTACCACAAGACAAAGAGCCTGGTTGTAGAAAATGAAACCTATGTGATAGGAAATAAGTCACTACTTCTTTGCCATAAATAATAAATTCAATGGGAATGCTCAGTGGGGATCTGTTCTCTGAAACTTCTAACCTGTGGCACTGTGGTCTCCAGATTGTAGTGTTTATTCAGGAATTTCAGCAGCTTCTGTGAGGGTCGGTCAATGGCGAGTTGGTGCGGTTCCACTCGCTCCTTCTGCAGGGAACAGGAGACTCAAGGTAGGAGGAAGTATGGGGAAAGCATGCCAACAGGAAGCCAGAAGCCTGGGAAGGGAATAGGAGGACATAGGAATATGGGGGGTGGGAGGCAGGGCTTCTGGAAGGGCTCATGGCAAAGGAGTCCCTAGTTTGGATGAACCAGTGAAGAGGTAAGTGATACCTGCAACATATACTGGAAGAGTTCTCGCCCATGGCCATGGCGTTGCACAGACTCATGGATATAAAAGTCCAGGATGCAAAGTGGTTCTACCTCATTATGAGCCTCACGATCATCCTAAGAGAGAAACAATAAAAATGTTTTAGGACCCCCGGCATCTCTGCTGCCCCCTAACCTCCAGCACTTTTGTTCTCAAGAACCAAGGTATACGAACTCCTGGCTTCCAGTAACACTCACCAGTACAAAGAGCTTCTTGTATCCAACTTTGATGAAACCAATAATGGCTCCTTTTCCAGCCCTGTAGAACGGGGAAAATAATGAACAGGCTAGTGGTAACTATCTGTAAGAGATAGTCAAAGATGGGGGAAGGGCTGAGGGAGGAAGGAATTAAGAGAATGGGATGGAAGAGAATGTGGCACTCACGGTCGGCCTGAACTGTCTTTGAGAATATAAACAACATGGCGGTTACTCTGCATCCTTGATGCACTAGTGATGGGAGCGGAAAGATTCTGGGCCTGCAGGGAAGATTAAGTCAGACTTTCTGCAAGTCCCTCCAAAGGACCCAGGCCTCCCTTATCTACCATCCCCACAGAGGTCCTCCCTTTACTCCATCTAAAACCTCTCCAGTACCTTGGCAGAAGCCTTGCCCAGTTCATCTATAATGGTCATAATTTGCTGCTGTAGATCAACACTAGAGAAAGAGAAGAAATAAAAGAGTCAGATACTCACTGAATTAGCGGGTCCTGGGCAGTCAGTCCTGGGAACCTGGGCCACAACTCCAACCAAAGTTTAACACTGAACGCTCCCTGCCTTTGCCTGGAAGTCTCCCAATCTGATTTCCCACCCCACGCTTCTGAAACCCAAACTTCTGTCACACCTTTCAAGGTGGTACACTCCCTCCTCCCTTAAGGTTATTGTGAGGAAGCAGAAAGGCCGGGTCAACCACATCCTTTGGTTGGGACATTTTGGGCCGGGGTGAAAGGTCACAGATCCAAGCGCTGATCAATCCCACTAGGTCCAGGGTCAGAGGTCACCAAAAAGGCAGGCCAGGACATCAAAAGGAGCGATCACTAGTCAGTGAGAAGGGGGCGTGGTGCCTGGACCAGGTTTGGAGAGGAACCGGGAGAAAAGGGGCAGGGGGTGGGTTTGAGCTGTCACCGGGCCGGCGTTGTGGTTCCGGGTCGGCGGGCTGGGGGCCTCAGGTGCTGGTCCAGCACCGTGATCCGCTCCGGGAACAGCGCGTCCACATCGAACGGGAACTCCATGGCCCATTGTGCGCGGTTGGACCCGCCCCACACGACGTCACTTCCGCCCCTCCCTTCGCCGCACTGCCTCTGGGAGTCTTTATTTCCAGGAGCCCCGCCTGTAGATCCTGCTCCTAGCGTCCTGGCAACTGCCAGGGCCCCCCTTTTTTTTGCCAAACCAGCTGTATCCCTAGCAGTGCCACTCATTCCCATCTCTGCATCCCAGGGCAGTGAGTGCCATGGCAACGCAGTCTTCCTAGGCCCAGTGTCTCACTAACCTTTTAGCCCCTCAGTGAAGTGGGCTATGCTGTGAATGTGGAATGGCGACCCACAAAGGCATCTTGACAGAGTGGCACGCTGCCCATCCCCAGCTTCTAGTCCCAGGCGTCACTGGCAAGGCTGGCTTAAGCCTGACCACTCATCTCCCCACAGCACCACCCAATTGCTTATATGAAAAGAACATCACTCAGCCCACCCCCGCTAATGGTATTCACGGTAAACAGCCCAAAGCAAACTAGAGACAGGAGAGTAGAGCTTTATTGTGTAAAAGCTGAGTTGGTATAAGTCTGAAACAGCAACAATGTTTAGCCCAGCCCATCTATTTACAATATATAGGGGTTGGGGTTTCCCATACACATCTGTCCTGCCCTCCCTCAGCCTCAAGATTTATCCCTATCAGCAACATTATTTCCTGGATTTGTCATTGGCTACAAAAGACACAACTCTTCAGGGTGATATCCCATCATATAAACCTACATACACATATCTCCTAGTCCCTCTGGCTCTCTTCCCTTTTTTTTGAGACAGGGTCTGGCTTTGTCACCCAGGCTGGAGTGCAGGGGTGCAACTGCAACTCACGACAACCTCCGCCTCCTGGGATCAAGTGATCCTCCCTTAGCCTCCCCAATAGCTGGGACTACAGGCGTGCAGCACCACACCCAGCTAATTTTTGTATTTTTTTGTAAGCCACCATGCCTAGCCTCTCTTCCCAGTCTACGGCTCCTACAGAGCACTCTGAGGGTCTGTCTGCCCAGTGAAGGAGGCTTCCGCTGGTGCTGTAGGGGGCATCTTGGGCATTGACTCAGGTGGGGGGCCACTCTCTTCTCGGAGATGACCCTGGTAAAGCCGGCGAAGGCGTGACAGTTCTCTCTCTGGTGGCTGTTTCCAGTTGTACCATGGGTACCAGGGGTCACCTGAGATCAGGGTGGGGGCTGGCGGAGTAGCACTCACAGCCCCATGAGAGATACTAAAGTCACGGTCCCGTGGTTCAACCTGGGGGATGTGGTAAATGAGGAGACCTAAGGGATTAAAAAAGAAGAGAAATTTAAGAGGGAACGAGGAGGGTGGTTTAGATGAAGAAAAAGGATTATAAAGGGAGGGACCAGTCAGAGCCACTGGGTACATTTATGTATGTTGTATACTGCAAACAGGTGAGACTGGCCCAGAAGGCAAATGTGGGCTGACATACTGCTGGGGCTCTTGCTTACAAAGCTATGCAGCCCTGAACAAGGACTATGAAGCTGCATCCATACCTTTTACTAATTTATGCAGCAGTGCCATGTAGTCCAGGGCCAGACATTTATATAAAGATCTTCCTATGATCTTGCTATGGCATTGAGACCAGCAGTTGTAAAATAGGAGGGAAAGGGATGGAAAGACAAAGACCAAGGAGACAGGGTTATGATAAAGTAAGACACTCAGGAGAAGGGACAGGGGACAATGGAATGTCAGAAGAGACTCAGGAAGAACATGCTGGTTGCTACCATCTTGAACAGGTGTGAGCATTTATATCCATAATCTAGCCCTAAGTCACCTTCCTTATACCTAAACAAAACTGCCATGTGCCCCGTCTCATGCTCACCATGATCCCTGGCTTTCTGGATGGCCTGGGTCAACCTCTTGTGCTGCTTCACACAGACTCCTATGGGGAGAAAAATAACTTGTTCTTTAAGGCACAGTAAATAATAGAACACAACTGCTTCCGTATGGTGACAGAGGAGTAGACTGGGAAGGACTGGCTTTACCTAATGACCCCTTTCCCCTGACCTCTCCAAGGACCTCAGTTTCCCCATCTGCCCAATGGAAAGAATCTCTCCCATCTCTTGGAGAGCTGGGATAAAGATTTAGGAGGGTCTAGCCACTATAGAGAAGCTATTTAATGGTAAAGCCTCCAAGACAGGGAGCAGAACACAATTTAATGGGCAAGTGTGGTTAATTAGAGGGTTGACTTGAACAATCCACAGAGAAAGATTCAATAAAGAGAGAAGAGACTTCAGAGTTGGGGAAGGCAATCTGAGAGAGTAACAATAATAGTCCCTTCAGCCTTTACAGCTTGACTATAAGAAACTCTTGACAAACTGAACACTGATTGTACTGCCACCTCCAATAATGGTGAATTCAGATTTATTCTCTGCAAGGCTGGGCATGGTGGCTCATGCCTATAGTCTCAGCATTTTGGGAGGCTTAGGCAGGAGGATCACTTGAGTCAGAAGTTCAAGACCAAAGTGGCCAAAATGGTGAAACCCTGTCTCTACTAAAAATGCAAAAAAAATTAGCCAGGCACAATGGCACGTGCCTATAATCCCAGCAACATGGGAGGCTGAGGCAGGGGAATTGCTTGAACCCAGGAGGTGGAGGCTGCAGTGAGCCGAGATCACGCCACTGCTCTCCAGCCTTGGGTGACAAAGTAAATGAGATTTCGTTGCAAAAAAATATATATATATATTAGTCTCCACCGGGCAACAGTGGCTCACGCCTGTAATACCAACACTTTGGGAGGCCGAGGTGGCTGGATGACCTGAGGTCGGGAGTTCGAGACCAGCCTGACCAACGTGGAGAAACCCCATCTCTACTAAAAATATAAAATTCACCAAGCATGGTGGTATGCGCCTGTAATCCCAGCTACTCAGGGGGCTGAGGCAGGAGAATCACTTGAACTTGGGAGACAGAGGTTGCAGTGAGGCAAGATCCTGCCATTGCACTCCAGCCTGGGCAACAAGAGTGAAACTTCGTCTCAAAAACAAAAAAAAAATTCTCTGCAAATTTGTCTTGCTTCAGAGCAGTGTTAGCAAAATTTTTCTGTCTAGAGTCATATAGTAAATATTTTAAACTCTGCAGGTCCTGTGGTCTCTGTCTCAGCTACTCAACTCTGCCATTGTAGCATGGAAGCAATTGTAGACAATATGAAAATGAAAACAAATGGACATGGCAGTGGGCCAGATTTGCCCTGTGACTGTAGTTAGGGAATAGATATAATCTTGAATTGTTAAATTTACAACTCCAAGTTTGGAAAATCTAATTCAATTGACAATGATATAAAATAACTTATGTGATAATTTGCGAGAAGTCTTTTGTAAAAGTGAAAAGACCCTATAGAAAGGAATTAATCACTGTTCATCAAATAAAAACTACATTTAGATAGTTTGCTTACAGAAGCACTTGCTTTTTTCTTTTTCCTTTTTTTTTTTTTTTTTGAGATGGAGTTTCACTCTTGATGCCCAGGCTGGAGTGCAATGGCGCAATGTCAGCTCACTGCAACCTCTGCCTCCTGGGTTCAAGCGATTCTCCTGCCTCAGCCTTCCGAGTAGCTGGGATTACAGGCATGCACCACCACGCCCAGCTAATTTTGTATTTTTAGTAGAGACAGGATTTCTCTACGTTGGTCAGGCATTGGTCAGGCTGGTCTCGAACTCCCCACCTCGGTGATCCGGCCGCCTTGGCCTCCCAAAGCGCTGCAATTACAGGCGTGAGCCACCACGCCCGGCTGTACTTGTCCTTTTCTTTTGTCCACATTTAATTGCTTTAGCCCCCAGTAAACCAAGATTTCCAAAAGGTTCAGCCAGACCTTTTAAGCTATAAGTAGGAGCCACTGAACGAATAACTATTGAACAACTACATAAACAAAACATGCCACAAGGAAAAGCTCTCTGGTGGTGCAGGGATGATGGGCTAACCTGTGTATAGAGAATGGAAGATGATACCCGTGTGGGCGCAGACAAACTGTTCCAAGAGCTTCACGTTCTGTAGGGGAAAGTGGTAGAGAAACGTGAGGAAAGAGGAAGGGAGAACAGCAAGATCTTTGGACACTGCAAGTACACAATCCCTACATACCCACATGGACCACCTTCACCCCTCTAGAGCTCTCCAGATGCTATCCTCTCACCCCTCTACAGCAATCCAGATGCTATCCTCTCACCCCTCTACAGCTCTCCAGATGCTATCCTCTCACCCCTCTACAGCTCTCCAGATGCTATCCTCTCACCCCTCTACAGCTCTCCAGATGCTATCCTCTCACCCCTCTACAGCTCTCCAGATGCTATCCTCTCACCCCTCTACAGCTCTCCAGATGCTATCCTCTCACCCCTCTACAGCTCTCCAGATGCTATCCTCTCACCCCTCTACAGCTCTCCAGATGCTATCCTCTCACCCCTCTACAGCTCTCCAGATGCTATCCTCTCACCCCTCTACAGCTCTCCAGGTGCTATCTTCCTTCATGTCCCAGTTGGGCTTCATCAATTCACTGAATCCATCCTTGCACATCCCATATTCTGTCACTGTGCTCCCAAAGAAATCTCTTATGCACAGGTTAAGTTCTTTTTTCTTTTCTTTGAGACAGAGTCTCCCTGTGTTGCCCCGGCTGGGATGCAGTGGCGCGATCTCAGCTCACTACAACCTCCGCCTCCCGGGTTCAGGCAATTCTCTGCTACTCCTCCCGAGTAGCTGCGGTTACAGGCGCCCGCCACCACACCTGGCTAATTATTTTGTATTTTTAGTAGAGACGGGGTTTCACCATCTTGGCCAAGCTGGCCTTGAACTCCTGACCTGGTGATACACCCACCTTGGCCTCCCAAAGTGCTGCGATTACAGGTGTGAGCCACCATGCCCAGCCTGCAGAAGTTAAGTTCTAAAGTCAGCCTTTAGGTGAAAAACTGGGACTGGTCATTGGAAATCCCAGAAATCACCCAAAAAATGATATTGTAATGTGTATGTATAAACAACTAATGTATTTAATAGCATACTGAATATAATTTATATAGTAAGAATAATTTTACAGTTTACATAGAACAACCCTCACTCAGCAAATTAACTGTAGGAAATGAGACTCTTGAGAAAAAAGCAGATACACTGTGGAGTAGAATGCAAGCGGAATCACCTGTGCTACTAAATTCGTAACATTTCTCTCTCAGTTATATAATTAACTATAATCTCTGTTTTGTTTTGTTTTTGAGATAGAGTCTTGCTCTGTTGCTCAGGCTGGAGTGCAATGGCACAATCTTGGTTCACTGCAACCTCCATCTCCCAGGTTCCAGTGATTCTCCTGCCTCAGCCTCCCAAGAAGCTGGTACTACAGGCACCCGCCACCACACCTGGCTAATTTTTTTTGTATCTTTAGTAGAGATGGGGTTTCACCATGTTGGCCAGGCTGGTCTCGAACTCCTGACCTCAAGTGATCCACCCACCTTGGCCTCCCAAGGGATTACAAGCATAAGCCACCGCACCTGACCATAATCTCTTTTTATAACTAATCATATGCAGTCAAAACTGGGGAATTATCTATGGGACTCCTGAATAACCTGTGTCAGAAGGGTTCTTATTGCAGTCAAATACCCCCATTTTCTGACTGTTATCCAAATGCTCTACTGCTTCCCTGATGACCAGCCATACAGCTTCTGCTCTAATACTTTTGCTGCAAGCTCAGAAGAACACTTTCCTATTACCTATTTTATTAATGTAATGTTTTCAAATTCTTGTTTTTTTTGTTTTTGTTTTTTTTTTTTTTTGAGGAGTTTCACTCTTTTGCCCAGGCTGGAGTGCAGTGGTGCAATCTCAGCTCACTGCAACCTCCACCTCTCCGGTTCAAGCAATTCTCCTGCCTCAGCCTCCCAAGTAGCTGGGATTATAGGCGCCTGCCACTATGCCTGGCTAATTTTTGTATTCTTAGTAGAGGCAGGGTTTTGCCATGTTGGCCAGGCTGGTCTCGAACTCCTGACCTCAGGTGAACCACTCTCCTCGGCCTCCCAAAGTGCTAGGATTACAGGCATGAGCCACCACGCCCAGCCAATATGTTTCCAAATTCTTTAAAGGAGCAAATCCTGTCCTTCTCACATATTGAAGGCTTTCTGAAAAATACTAGACTCTATCTTGCCCTCCGGCCTCACGTCCCAGCATGCCACTGAACATTGACAAGGAAATATAAAAAAACTTCAGGAAGAAAGTGGGCCAATATACTTTGTAATAACTGTAAAGAATACAAACGAATCTTTGGATATTGCTCTCCCACTAGAAATAGCCATTTCGCTGGCTGGGCATGGTGGCTCACACCTCTAATCCCAGCATTTTGAGAGGCCGAGGCGGGCGGGTCATGAGGTCAGGAGTTTGAGACCAGCCTGGCCAATATGGTGAAACCCTGTTTCTACTAAAAATACAAAAAGTAGCCAGGCATGGTGGCACACGCCTGTAGTTACAGCTACTTGGGAGGCTGAGGTGGGAGAATCGCTTGAACCCGGAAGGCGGAGGTTGCAGTGAGCTGAGATCGCGACAGTGCACTCCAGCCTTGGCAACAGAGTGAGACTCAGTCTCAAAAGAAATAGTCATTTCTCTTACCTGCCAGTTTAGACTGTAAATTTCATAGGCATAGGATAAAACTTGCAGTACAATCCATAGTAGAAGGTAAAAGACTGGAGAGAGAAATGTTTTTATAATGCCAGAAACAGTTACTACAAAATAAACTGTAGGGCTTCCAGGATATACGAAGTGTGGGGCACCTACAGTAATCTCTTTGGCACTGCAAAGGGGCTCCTAATCTTTATTTTTCTTACCATAAAAAGAAAAGACTCTCCTTACCCTAAAGTCAACATGCAACTTGTGATCTCGGCAGATGGGGCAGGGATTCCCAGCAACTTTATTCCCACGCTGTAGAGAGAAAAAACCAGCAGTTAAGGATGTTCAAACCCGTCAGAAAAAGTGCTGCTGTTACTGTTACTTGTGGCCTCTACCCCTACTCCACATCCCACTCTCAGAAACTCACAATACATGTTTTCCGAGTCCGCTGTGGGGGTACACCACCCTTGTGGTTGCGGCGGTAGTCAGCCCAGACAGGGCGAGAACCATATCGCTCCTGGTATTCTGAAATGAAAGATCATACAAGTTATTTCTGGGTGGGAGTGTAGTGGGTGGCTCTATCCACGTATCTTAAATCCTATCTGACCCTCCCTTTCCCCATTTAGAGGTACCTTCTGATTCCAGATATTTCCAGGGTTCATCCTTATAAGGAGAAATGGGAACTGGGGACAAAGAATCTTCCTCAGAGGGAGGTTTGGTGCAAAGAGTCTGGAGGGGAACCTATAAAGGAGCAGAAAAAAATAAAATAATGAGTTCAAGGAAAGAACTCAATGGTTTGCTTATCACATTTTGGAAAGAGGGGGAATGCATACATATTGCATTAATGGAATATAACAGGAATACATATGTAAGTTAAGTATTTTTGTTGGGTTTAAACTGACATAAATCAACAACAACGCTCCTTTTCTACAACTGGATCCTGAAAGAAAAGCTAAGTTAGCGGATATATGCTGAAAAACAATCTTATTTCAGAAGACAATTAAAAAGTCTAGTACAAGGCCCAGCGCAGTGGCTCATGTCTGTAATCCCAGCACTTTGGGAGGCTGAGGCGGGCGGATCATGAGGTCAAGAGATCAAGATCATCCTGGCCAACATGGTGAAACCTCATCTCTACCAAAAATACAAAAAATTAGCTGGGCGTGGTGGCATGTGCCTGTAGTCCCAGCTACTCGGGAGGCTGAGGCAGGAGAATCGCTTGAACCCGGGAGGCGGAGATTGCAGTGAGCCAAGATCGCACCACTGCACTCCAGCCTGGCAACAGAGTGAGACTCCATCTAAAGAAAAAAGAAAAAAAAAAATCTAGTACATAAAAGGTAGTCCTGCTTTTTGGAAATGAATTGATTCTGGTGGAAGAATAAAGAGGAAGGATATCTAGGTTCTCGGAACCAAGATGTGTGGTGGGGAGGGGATGCTGAAGACAGGTGAGTCTCCAAATCAATCCAATGAAGTCACTGAGTTGCCCATTTTCATAAAAGCTGAAGGTCAACAATCTACAGGGCAGAACAAACTTGAGTCCTAACGCTAGTTTTAAAGCTACCAAGGCTGTTATTAAGTCTGTGTTGACCTCTGTCACCACTCTTCAGTCCCACTTTAGGGAGTGGCAGCTGGGCAAGCCTTTCTATCTCACCGTGCCCCACCAAGAACCTCCAGAGAGGTGAGTACACAAGACTGGAGGGAAACCTCAATTCAAAGGACGGAGTTAAGCTCTCATAACTCTGATAAGAAACTGATTTAATAAAGAGAGCTGAGAAACTGTCCTCAGGTCGTAAGAATATATCCTGACCTTACTGGGAAATAGCAAGGTGGGTAGAAATTAGGATCCCTAATTTCCCTAAGGACATTCCTGAGCAACACAGATTTAGACATGACCTGCACAGTTAAGAGCTGGTTGTGGCGCTCGCTTGGGGAGCACATATGTTACGCTAAAATTGCAACGATACAACATTAGCATAGCCCCTTAATTATTTAAATAATTTTCAAAAAGCTGGTTATGCATAACTGAGGGTGGACGGGGGTCAATTCTATCACTTAATTATTTTACTGAGATGACATTTTGGAAGAAGGATGACACCTAACCCTGGGGCTTAGTCCTCGGCTCGAGATTAGAAAACGCGCGGTGTATGGGAGGGGGTTGCTGGAAGTACTGCCTAGACAGCTAAGATATAAACACGTGGGAAGGTCTCCACTCGTGGATTCCTGACAGCGGAGCGACGACCTAGAGAAGGTATAACCAACTTGGGGTTGTGCAAAATGTCCTTCGAGAAGTTACCTGAACTCTGTGGGCACCTCGGAAGAGAGAAAGCATAGGAAGCCGCCTCAGCAGGGTGTTTAATACGGACGCCGCCATCTTGACGTACGCCCAGCACAGGAATGGAAGGAAAGGCAACTGCGCATGCTTCAGGAAACTGACTAGGGCAGGGCCAAGGACAAGCCCGCAGTGCGGAAGGCGGCCGCACGTTTGCGTCAGGACGGAAGCGTGAAAGGGAAGGCATGGGCGGAGAAGCTAATTTCAACTGCGTCACAATCGAATTAGACCTCAAAATTGCATTTTTTCTTGGCTAGTCACTACGACTCTTAGATCTCTTTGTTAGAGTTTGCCTTTTAAGCAATTTTGAAGGCGATTTTTATCGAGATCCTCTCAGTGCGCATGCTCCGGCACGTTTCTACCAACCCTGGGTGAGAAATGTTCTCCAGGGCGGAAGTGGCGGAAGCAGAGGAAAGGGAGGTGCTGGGCTCTCTGGTCACGCGCACGCAACAGGGAGGCAGAAAGGAGGCGGAAGAGAGTGCCGGGGAAGGGGCGGAGCAAAGGTGAAGTGAGACTAGCCAATCAGCTGGCGAATTGTCGTTTAGGTTGACCAATGAGTTCACGCCTCGCGTATAATGTCTCGCGACAAGGGCGTTTCACTAGCACGTTTGGGCGCGTTGGGCGGCGTCCGGGTATAAAAGACTCCACCCGAGCGGGCGGCCGCCATTCTGGGGTTCGTTTAGAGGTAAGTTTACCTACCTTGTTGTTTAGTGGGTAAAATTTTGCGGAGAGCGTTGGATCTGGGAAGCGGGGTAGGGATGGGTTCATTTGAGAGCCACGGCTTAAAGCGGCTGCGATCAGGATGGGACACAGAGGTTTGTTTGGGGACAGCAAAGATGGCATTTCTGGGTGTTTTGAAGCAACCCGTACTGATTACATCTTTCTCCCTTGTGTTCCTTTTATCCCAGGTTTGAATTTTCTCGGAGAAAGACAGGCCGACCACGAGGAAAACAGAAACAAGCCGCAGCAACATCTAAGCCCTTGAAAGGATCCTGAGAGAGGGGGGAAAGGGAAAACAGCAGCCACCAGCCCAACCACTTGTGTCTTCTGCCCCTTCCCACCTATCTTGCCCACCCCACCAGCCCACGCTGCTTGGGACTTGAAATCTGTGGCCGAAGGACCGTCACCACATAACTTGAAAAATAATCAACCACCCTCCCTTCCCAAACCACCCAAATTCACTCATCCAGCGTTTACTTTTTTGAATCCACTCAGAACTTTTTTCTGCGACCCCCCTCCCTAAATGGAGTTGGGTGGGGGGGGAAATGAATACTGAGTTGGCCTTTATTTTTTAAAAGACTTTTTGATCCAATGAGGCCCCCTAAATAATTGAGTTTTGGGTCCTGGTTGGTTGTTTTATTTTTTTTCCTCCAAAATTTTACCCCCTCCCCCCTGAGCCCGAGGTGCTGACGTCGCAAAAAAATTGGATAGTAAGTGTCGAATTTTCAAAAACCAGCCTTGCAACAAGAAGTCAACGTTTCCCGTTGTGAAACCAAAAATAATGAGAGGAAGAAATGAGACCATAGAACAAATAGAGAACTGGAGAAGGACCAATCTGGTCACTTAATCTCCATTAAAAAGGGCCTGTGGGTCTAAACAGTCTTGTTCTCTCTCCCCTACCACCTATCTCTTCCCTGCCCTGCTGCAGGCAAAGAGAGGGTGGAGGGAGGGCCAGCAAGTGAGGATTTTGATGGTTAACCCTTGGTAATCCAGCCAATTTCCAGACTGCCAAAGCCATACGTGTTTATATAAGGAGGAATGGTTACCTTCCTCTGGTTAGCAGCAGTCTTCGAAAGGGTTAATGAGCTCACATACAAGAGATGGTGGATCTTGTGGCCCAGAAGTACCACTTCTTTGTGTGTGAGACAAGCAGGGTGCCTTTCAATTTGCCAGATTAATAAGCAATCTGTACATAAAGATTGCAGGGTAAGGAGATGGGCAGAGAGAAATAATAGCTCGCTATAACTTTTTAAATGACTGTTAAATCCTCTCAATTTTAATGTAATTTGTTTGGGGTATATTTGTGTGGTTAAAATAGGTGGCAATCTAGGAATAAAGATTGCAAGACACTTAGGACAAAATATAATCTTAGTGCCAGTACATACAATAGTTGGGGAGGTAAAGAATGTCTTATAATTGTTGCAGATTGCATAGGTATTTAAAAGCAAAAGAGTGATTAACATTTTAACTTGATATTTTTTGGTGGGGGAGGTACAGTTAAATAGAGGGTGGAAAGGTTGGGTAATGTGGAATTTAGGAGTATAATTTTAAAAGCCATTTAGTGCAATTGAATGCTAGCTTTCTAAAAGATTTGTGTCGTTAAAAGGAATTTTTTTCTTCCCTGCTTCAATATGGCGACTTTCCTTGTCCTTTTGTCTTCCAAGCGGCGTTGCAGGTTGTGTCTTGACCCATTTTTTTTCCTGTCCTCCCACCTCAACCCTATTTGTTGAGAGGGGTCCAAGTCCTTCCTCCCCCTTTCCCTCTATAGGGAGGATGGGGGTGGTCGATGGTAGCCGGTTGAACCTCCGTTGCAAATTCAGTTCTTCCCTGCAGAAAATTGTTCTAATATTTTGATTGCTTTAATTTTCACTACGCTCTTACTGATCAAAATAGGTCAAAGATTATTCACGATGGGGAACTGGCTTTTGGCTTTTTTACTAAAAAGGTGTTTTTATAATGTAACTGAAGCTACCGGCAGAGCTGGGTGGCTTTTTAAAGTTCGAGTCCTCTTTCTCCATTACAAAATGGCGTCCCTCCGTCTTTGTTGTTTTTCTTCCCCTTTTGCCATCCTGAGCTTAGGGCCGCCCTAGAAATTTGGTCAAGGGGGAGGAGCAGCCTTGAAAGGTGATGTAATCAGCTTTCTTCCTCTTTTCTCCACCCTCTTGAAGCTCCACCCCTGAGCAGATGCCTTTGCACTCCCTGTGCTCGTGGCTGCTAGGGAGAAGACATTTTCCTAATTTTCATTATATAAAATACCTTAAAGGGATGAGAGCTTATAGGAATTAAGTATTAAGGCTGTCCATCTCCTTGGGTAGTTCTAGTTTTTATAGAACCAGTTTTTATTTTCACTTTCACTCATCACAACTGCTTGTAATTTTTCCCCACTTCAGCTGCAAGGGGTGAAAAAACAGGCAAACCCAAGACTGGGAAGCTTTGAGGATGTGTGTGAGCGTGTGTGTATGTATATATGTGTGTAGAGGGAGATGGGAAAGACACAAGGGCTTGCGAGAGTCCCTTCGAGATAAACGGGCCTGATGACACTGAAATGTGCCATTTCTGCTCAGGAACCAGTCTTTGGGCCTCCTGCATTTGGTCGCTTTGTGTAATGAGAATCGGGGGAAGGTGGATACTTCTAGGACTTTCTTCTAAATCGCCCTCATTCCCACCTCTCAGTTTGGGGATAAACTGTATTCAGTGCTGTATCACGTTCTGCACTTGCTTAGTTCCTGTACATTGGTACTAGGATAAGAAGTGAATCTTTAGGAAAGGAGGCGGCAGTTGTAAACTCAAGGCAGGGGGAATCAAGCTACGGTTTCTGGTAAGCAAAACCTTTCTGGTATTACATTTCACAACTTTCATTTTTTTTTTTCCCAAAGAGCCACCTTTTTTGAATTTCTTTTTCCTTCCCTTCTAAAAGAAATTCCTTGAAAGCATTAATGAAAAAATGATGTCCTCTTCATTTTTCAACTCATGCAGTGCTGTAGCAGTTGGTGCATGTTCAGAAGCCATGCCCTATCTGAGGGTGGTATTGGGTGTCTGGTTCCTTTCTTCCCCCAACTTTTTCAAAGCCAAATCTTTATCAGACTCTCCATATAATTTTAATTTTTAAAAGTCCTGCACTGAAGCGTGGAGGTTCTAGGCAGAATTGGAAAGCACAACTGCCCTGTGGTGACGTGGGTGAGACTTAGGGCTAATTTTCTACTGGGTACAGATTCTCAAATTATTACTTAAACTTCTGGATTGGATGGGAGGGACTCTTCCACATGTCTATTGACCACAAGTTTTTTTTGTTTTGTTTTGTTGTTTTTTTTCTTTTAAGCAGTTTGCCATGTGCCTCTGCAGCATATCTTCCTTGGGAGCTGAACATTCTACCCACTGGGGTTCCTGATATCTAGTGAGCCAGGGGATTAATAAAGAAGATCTTCCTTAACATGGGAGATGGGAAGCAAGGTCTACTAGGGGAACCACATCCATTCAGAGAATCTTGGAAAAGCTGATCCTTGTAGTTTGTGGCCAGAGTTCCAGTCTGGGGTCTTTTTCTATGAGTTGGGGTGGTGTATCATTTTGCATCTTTATTGAAAGGCAGATAAGCTTTTGAGGAGCTCATGTATCAGGTTTGCAAAATGACTTTGAGGGGTGGGGGCTTACTACTTGGAAGCAAGCTATGACCTTGTGATGAATCACCTGAGAGACATAATTCAGTCCACTATTGAGTCAAACTAGGAAATGCCTAAAACACTGAAGAAAGGAAGGGGAACATGAGTTAGGTACAAATCATTTTCATTTCCAGAAGTGCCTCTAAATTAAGGTAAATTTGGGAGTTTTTTCTTCTTTTGTTAGAAGACAGTTATTTTTTAAAGAACTCTGACTTGCACAGAATTTTTATCCTGAACCAATTCAGTCCTGTTCATTGGTGATGGATGTGGAATAACTTTAGCTATGCTGGATATTTTTTCACCCTATTTATTTGAATAGCCCTCAAGTAAAATTCATTTTGAAGGCAGGAGTTGGTGTCACAGACGTTTATCTCTGGTAAAAGTGGTAGAAAATTCCCCAGTGCCTTGTGCCAGTAGAGTATGGCTCTGCCTGAAACATCTCCATAAGGAAAGCATAGCTTAGGATGAGGTGGACGTAGGCCAGGGGGTTGCTCCCTCACTCCCCACCTTCTGTATGTTCTGCAGTCAAGGAAATAGCAGCTCACTAAAAAAAGACATAATCATGCCCTGGATTATTCGTGGTTCCAGAAAGCTTTCTCAAGCTTTCATTCTAGACTCCAGATCCTGAGTAGGTAATGTTACAACACTTAGTCACAGCCCCTGCCTTCCTTCATCAACTCAGTTTGCCTTCTCAGCTGTAGCCCTGTGCCCGGAATGTTGGACTTTACATTCCTTCCCACTTCAGTGCCTTGGAACTTGTTTGGTTTTTTCCCAAAATATACTGACTTCCAAGTAAGTAAACTAGGTTATAAGACACTTGGGGTCCTTAATTTTAAATAAGAATGAATCTGCCTAAAGGAAGGCCATCATGAGAAAACCCACTTACATTTTATCAAGATTGGTGCTAATGAGACAAAATTTCACTTATATTTCCAAAATACAAGTAGTGGAAAATGAATGTTTAACACTAATTTTGCTTTGTCTCTTAGCTTCCCTTTGACTATTAATGTTTTTTATTCTTGTTTATACAAATGGGAATAAAAAAGTCCTTGGATCCCATTCCCAGCAGAGGGCTCTGGACAGAATTTAGCTTTGTACTCATTGGTCCATTTTTCTAAGACTGGCTCTTCTGTCTTGTCTCCCATCCTCTGAAGGAACACTTGAGCTCAGATGACAGTTTATTTAGTGTCTGAAGGAAATAGAGGTAGCTGG